ACCGTTTCAATACCTTTTCTATGTAGGTAGATTGATGAATAAAAATTCCGTTTGCCAAATGTTCAATTTGCAAACCAAGACATAATTTTGTCTTTCCGAGATCTTTCATCTCGAATTCCTTCTTTAAATAATCAATTGCCTTTTGGAGTTCTATAGGAGTTCCAATAAGGTTTATGTCATCAACATATACGGCAAGTACAACAAATTCCGATGTTGTTTTCTTTATAAAAACACATGGGCAAATGACATCATTTATATAGCCTTTCTTTAATAAATACTCACTAAGACGATTATACCACATTCGTCTTGATTGCTTTAGACCGTACAAAGATCTTTGCAATTTGATTGAAAATATTTCCCGGGACTTTGAATTATTTGCGTTAGGCATTTTGAATCCCTCGGGAATTTTCATGTATATCTCATTATCAAGTGAGCCATAAAGGTAGGCGGTAACCACATCCATTAAATGCATGTCAAGCTTTTCATTGACAGCAAAACTAATGAGATAACGGAACGTTATAGCATCCATAACGGGTGAATATGTCTCTTCATAATCGACACCAGGCCTTTGTGAAAATCCTTGTGCAACAAGGCGTGCCTTATATCTTTGTACCTCGTTTTTCTCATTTCTCTTGCGTACAAAGACCCATTTATAGCCAACAGGCTTAACACCATTAGGTGTTTGGACTACAGGCCCAAAAACTTCACGTTTCGCAAGTGAGTTCAACTCTGATTGGATTGCTTCTTGCCATTTTGGCCAATCACGTCTTTGTCGACATTCTCCAACAGACTGAGGTTCAAGATCCTCACTTTCTTGCATAATGCTAGATGCAACATTATATGCAAAGACATAATCTACCACTATATCCACTCGATTCAAATTTGTCTCAATATCGATTGGATTTATTGATAGTTCCTTATTTTCTTGAGTCTCGGGCTCAGTGGATTCCTCATGAATCTTAGAATTTATTAAATTGTGGATTTCTTCATGAGATTCTTTCGTAGTGTCATTTTGATCATTTGTTTTCCTTTTTCTAGGATTTCGATCTTTGGAACCTAATGGTCTGCCACGTTTAAGGCGTGCTTTTGACTCATTAGCTATGACACTAGAAGATTGTCCAATAGGGACATCAATACGGATTGGAACATTCTCCGCAGGGATATGTGATTTTGTTATCCTTTTCATATCCGTAAATGCATCTGGCATTTGATTTGCTATTCTCTGCAAATGAATAATCTTTTGCACCTCTTTTTCACAAATTGAGGCGCGTGGATCAAGATGAGATAATGATGGATCTTTCCACAAATTTCCCGTTTAGTTTTACCAACTTCTCCCCCTAATTTTGGGAAAAGTGTCTCATCGAATCGACAATCTGCAAATCGAGCAGTGAATAAATCCCCCGTTAATGTTTCAAGATAGCAAATAATGGAGGGCGATTCAAACCCAACGTATATTCCTAACCTTCTTTGGGGATCCATTTTGGTGCGATATGGCGGTGCTACAGGCACATATACTGCGCATCCAAAAATTCTTAAATGGGATATATTAGGTTCATGACCCAAAACTAATTGCAACGGGGAATATTTATGATGATTTGTCGGTCTAAGACGAACTAGCATTGCTGCATGCAAAATGGCGTGACCCCAAACAGAAGTGGGTAACCTCGTTTTCATGAGTAACGGTCTTGCTATCAATTGCAGACGTTTAATTAAAGACTCTGCAAGACCATTTTGAGTGTGAACATGAGCTACAGGATGTTCCACTTTTATCCCAATTGATAAGCAATAATCGTTAAATGCTTGGGATGAAAACTCAGCAGCATTATCAAGTCTAATAGACTTAATTGGATTATTGGGAAATTATGCCCGTAATCGAATTATTTGTGCCATTAATTTTGCAAACGCGAGGTTGCGAGATGACAATACGCACACATGGGACCATCTAGAAGATGCGTCTATTAAGATCATAAAATATCTAAACGACCCACTAGGTGGGTGAATAGGTCCACAAATGTCCCCTTGTACACGTTCCAAAAACGCAGGGGACTCAATTCCAACCTTTGTTGGTGATGGTCTAATAATTAACTTGCCTTGATAACAAGAAGTGCAAGAAAATTCATTATTTAAAAGAATATTTAAATTCTTTAATAGATGCCCATTTGAGTTTTCTATAATTAGTCTCATCATAATTGATCCAGGATGTCCCAATCGATCATGCCAAAGTACAAAAGTATTGGAATCAGTAACCTTTTGGTTTACAATAGAATGTGCCTCAATTGCACTAATTCTTGTCCAATACAGGCCACAAGACAAAGATGGGAACTTCTCAATAGCCCTTTTCTGGCCAGAGACATTTTTGGTAATGATGAGATATTCAAGATTATTCTCATCTATTGTCTCAATATGATATCCATTTTGACGGATATCTTTAAAACTCAACAAGTTCCTCTTGGACTTGGAGGAGAACATTGCATTCTCTATAATAAGTATTGTTCCCTTAGGCAGAGTTATAGTAGCTCTTCCAGAGCCTTCAATTAATTTACTACTATCAGAAATTGTAGTAACATCTGCCTTACACATACTTAAATGAGAGAAATATTTCTTCTCTTTGAATATTGTATGTGTTGTGCATGAATCAACTAAACAAATATTTGATCCAAGTTTGCTTTGTGGAATATCCATATTTACCTTAATCTTCTCAAAGAGCTTCTTGAGACGGTAGAGTCTCGTGCTGATAACGTATTATAAAACAATAAAAGTAGAAGAACAATATTGCAGAGAAAGAGAGAAGGAATTCTTATTGAATTTTGGGATGAATTACAATGGAATAGAACCCTCTATTTATAGGGAGAGGTTGACTTAGCCACCAAGTAATAAACCCTAGAATCTCTCTAAATATGGACATTCACCATAAATAGGATTCTATTTATAACATGATATACATATTATTATTGTGATATACATTTATTGGCTATTTGATGCAAATATCTATAACTAGAGCTATTTTCTGCCAATTATTTGGGTATGCTGTTATACCATGCCAATACGACTTCTCTAAAAGGGATTGGTCTTAGCGAATATATGTAGTTAGGATTTTTCTTTGGGGGAGAGGAGTTTGTATTTGTATAAACCAAATGCAACATAAGCACATTCAGAACGTTTTCTATAAACTAATTTAAAATTTATTATAGATCACGACACACTTTTAAAATCTAATATAAGCACATCCAGGTCATATAGTATAGACTCAGCTAAAATCTATATTATAAATAAATATATGAAATGTTCATCTTCAAATCTCAAGCTCAAATCTGAAATTTCACATAAAATCACTTTATATCTTATCCGAACTTCTCAAAAGATCTCCAATAAAACCTAATAACATCCACTCAAAATAGTTCACAATTTCAGAAAATCTAATTTTCAAACTTGAAACTCAAGCTTCAATAATGGATATCATCAATGGGGTATTTCAGATGTTCTTTCGAGGAAAGAATAATAGCATGGTATTAGGTTGAGAGAGAAGAATATATCTTTATATTTTTTTTAAAAGGAAAAAAAAAATGTTATACTTCTATTTTGATTTGTTTTATTATTTATTAAATTGGACTAATTAGCATTTTTTATAACTTTGGGGTTAGTTTCAAACATTCCATAATGGGAATTAGCTTAATTAGCACATCATAAAAGGGATTTATAAATTTATGAATTAAAACTTAGGGTTGGAATCCTCAACGAAGACCTGAAAAGGATTGCCCGGTTTGCCCTGGTTTTCTTACCATATTGAATTTTACCTTTATTTTGAAGGAAGGGAAAAAAGTTTACCATAATTGATTTTTACTTTTACTTAAAGAAAAATATAAATCTTTTTCATATTTAACAGAACCCTTTCTTAGAGAAAAAGATTGTGAAACTCTATAAATTGATGATTCCTCCTAATTCATACACAAGAACAACAAGAAACTCCACAATGTAGTCCTAACGAGAACTTTGTTTAGCGGGAAAAGTTATTATTCTCTCATAAGATTTTTCTCTCTTTTATATTAGTAAATCATATATATGTAGGTCACTTGACCAAATCATATTAATATAGTATGCTTCTTTAGTATATTTTCTTTTTGTCTAATTTATCATCACCAATGTTTGCTTTATTAGCTTGCACATGACCGTTTTATTATTTTTGATCCCAACACCTAAAAGCCCCAACTCACTATGGTATAAATTGCAGAAAGTAAAAATAAATAAATAAATAAATAAAATACTAAATTCCAGAAATATGCACAAGTAGTCTGCCACATATAAATTTGCTAGAAAGAAAATGCAAGCCAGCAGAGAAAGCAAATTTGTAAATTGTTGAAGACAAAATGTATTGGGTTCAAGTCTTATAGTAATAAGAAAATAAAAGTATTTTTAGATGATGCAATTATACAATTAAACATGATCATGCCATATCTTGCAACTTAAACTTTCTAAATTAGGTGGTCCACTACAATATTTTAGGCCTCTAGCTACCCCTGAGAAGTGTGGCCTAAGATGCCAAGAAATATAGCATTTGGTTAAAGGCACCTGAGAAGTGTGGCCTAAGATGCCAAGAAGTATAGCATTTGGTTAAAGGCAACACTTTACGGCTTTAGGCAGAAGCCGCGCTTTAAAAGTGTGGCCGATACGGTACAAAGGCCACGCTTATATTTTCTCATATAGCCACGCTTTTATGACATAAGGCTACACATTTGAAACGTGATCTTTGTCACGTTATAGACTACGCCAGATTGACAACCCTTATGGTCACACTTTCTAAGCGTGTCAATTTTGTCTACACTATGAAGTAATTTTCTTAAATATTTATATTAGCCACAATTTTATGGTTAAAAAATTATGTTTGTTTACATTAAATTCTGTTCACATTTATTTCAAGTACATATATATTATGATCTCAAGCATTCAATTAGATAATAAGTAACAGACTAAAAATAATTCAAATGCATATACTTGAAATAAACTTCAACAAAGAAACATACTTTGTGTACTATCTACAGTAATAAAGTACTGTTGGTTCAAGAGGTTCACTAGCAAAGAGCTCTACAAACCAAATGTACTCATATTTACAGTATCAATAAAAATAAACATTACAATTGTTCAGAAGGTCTTCACCGTTCACTTTAATGAATCAAATTGATTTGTGGCCTCCATTTTCAATTGCATCACCCGTATTTTCCTACACATTCAAAATGAAATTAAAAATTAAAAAGAAATATATATATATATATANTTCAAAATAAAATTAAAAATTAGAAAGAAACAAATATATAGTATGCACTGGTTATATCTTACTAAGAACTAATGAGATTTTATTTCACTACTATAGCATAATAAAGTCAAACACAAAAAAGATATACAAGTGAAGGAGAAGCCAAAATGTGAATTAACATATATTTTACCTCTCTCCTTCTATAATGGCAACAATCACTTAATTTAATAACAAGGGAAAAGGGCCAAATATACACATCTACTTTCAAATATTGTGTTTATTTAATCTTCGTTATACTATCCGATCAAATTTAGCCCTACCATTATACTATTTGGTGAAATTTGCCCTTACTACTAGCAAACTTTTAAAAATTACCTAAGTCCTAACAAAAATTCATGATCTCCCAAATTTCTGTTATCTAAGGCATTTATTCTTCTTCTTCATCCACTACTTGTAAAGAAGACAGAAAATTTTATATTAAATGTGACATCTCAACATGATTTTCTCTAAATCTAGTTTGTAACAGGAGGGACAAAGAATACAACCACTAATATTATGTTTCTGAATGGTTAGGTCATTATGCATATCAGTATTTTCCTGGAGAAGTTACTGTTCCTTCTTTCATATGATTATAACGCATTTATACCAATTCCTGTTCATGCCATTTTCCATCTTATTCATGTCCAATCTACTAATTGCTCAAGAACAATTCACTTAAGGACAACTCAATAAGTAGCTTTTAAGCTTTAAGGACAACTACAATAAACGAGCTTTAAATTAAATAAGCTTAGAACTTGATACCATCTCCACCTATTATTGAGGAGGAAGGCAGTTAGTAGCTTTAAGTAGCTAGAAAGCTGTTTTTACTTTCTAGAAAATTTCACCAAGAACAACTTACTCAACAAATACTTTATTTTAATATAAATTACTATGAACTAAAACTGAGTCAAACACGCTTCAGTTGATTCACAGCTGGACTGCGTACCATCGCGAGGCAATTAGAAGGCTTACATCTTCCAGTTCAACATTATGACCCGTAGAACCTTATCACATCAGCTAGCTCAATATTATGACCCCTAGAATCTTAGTCATGGCAATAGATTCAGTTTCCTATCACACCCTTTTAGAAAGCATGATTTTGTAAGTTAAGATTGAGGTAGTTTTTGAAATTGTGAAATATAAATACCTTTCCAAAACTCGGGGCATGAGTTGAGCCAGAAGAATGTGGTAGATTTTGGCCTCTCATAGCTTGTGCAGTTTCTTCGGAACTTTGACGACTCTGAAGTTCAGACTGTCAAAAAAAATATTTATTGCACACCACTCTCTTGAAGAGCATCAACTATGATATATATAAAGAAGCCCGGCATATATTCCAAGCATATCCATTTACATATTAGGTCATGCCGCAGTTTTCCAACACATTCTAGTATTATAACTCAAACTAATTGGGTCAACTATACATATTCACCAGTTTCATTCAACACACAAATTGCATTCAATATTGTGAGAATTCGACATAATTTGACAATTTTTATGCGGTGAAATTAACTTACACCTCAATTATTAACACACCACAAAAAATAAGATAAATTTGACTAGTGATGAAGTTAATATAGAAGACAACTAACAAAAACAGAAAATCAAGACTCAATAACCAGTATAACTCCCAAAGAGTAACTACTTTCCACAGTAGGAAGAAGGAAATTTTTAGAGCAAAAGAAACCAACCTGCAGCTTTGAGGAAGAGGGTTTTGATAACTACCGAAACAATTGTGCATTTTTAAACGATAATATAGCCCATTGCGACAAAACATAACTACAGATTGTGCAAATCCCCTATTATATCTAAAAATGCATCAACATTCTGTACTATAATCAGGTTGCACCAAAAAGCTAGCAACAACATGCATCTTTGTTTAAGGCTATGTAAATTTCTCCTATGGCCTTCAAAAATTCTGTCGTTCTTTCACGCCAAACAGACCACCAAATGGTTTGAGGAATGGTAATTAATTCCGAGTCTGTAGTTATTTCTTGCACAACCCTTCTTTAGTCCAACACTGCAGTAGCTCCAAGTGGATTTGGCATGGTCCAGGACATGCCAGGGATTTCAAGGACATGCTCCAGAGTTGACTAGTAAACAATGCAAAAAAGAGGTGACGGACATCTTCCACAAAGAGTTACTCATGGTTTTTCTGTATAATTCGATTAAGCAAATTCATAACTAATTGTGGTGTCCGGACCAACTTGCATGCACCTTGATTATTCCAGTGGGTACCTACTACCTCCTACCATACAGATACCGGGTAACTCTACGTACCAAGAGTTACTCATGGTTTTCACCTACTTCATTGACCACTAGGCCACACCTATTGGTGCATGATTGTCTCAAAATTTTCCTTCTACCCAAACTCTTCAAAGCTAATGGTGTTTGTTAAACATCCATAGTTCTCTTTCTCTAGAGGTCAAACAAAAACAAATTACTGCATCCTGTTCAAGTTAAAATACTAATGATTTTTTAACAAGTAGTAGTACTTAGACAAACACGTACCACCCAACCCTCTTTTTTTAAAGTGCAAAAATCACACAAACTTAATTGCAAGATACTTTGAAATAATTGATCAATCAATCTTGACCACCAGATTTTTTCCTCTAACAAGTTATTGGCAAATACAAACCAAATGGAGCGGAATATCAACACCACACAGCTGCAACTATTCTTCCTATATACTAAAATTTACCATCATTTTTCCTATCAAGAATAGGTTTATTAATCAAATATATTCTAAGAATAGCTAGATCATACTTACCCAGAAATTATACAAAAATAAAAATTATTTTTTCCAATTCCATTTATTAGAAACTAGAAAAACTAAAAACGATTAGCAGACAATACAAGATACCTAAAAATATATGAACAAAATTTGAGGCAATAGGAGTACAACGGTAAATTAAAGCTTGACGACAACTACAAGGAAGACACACAAGCTACAGATACATTCATTTGGGGTCCTAATGCAAAGGAATATACAGTAAAGTTGGCGCATAAAGTGCTAGATGCACATAATGAAATTTTAGATTCTTAGCCATTGAAAGTAATTTGGAGAACAAAGCTCCACCAAAAGTGGCATAATTTTAGATGCACGAGTTTTTTAATTTGACATAATCTAGTTGCCAAGCTAACCCAACAAGCAACAATGGCTTGTTTAGCAACAGAATTAAGTCTTTTTACTCCTCAAAATGTTCACAAAATATTAGAAAAATAATTTTTTGGGTGAAGATGTGGCTTGGTTGATCTAGACATCAGGTATGGTTAACAAATAAGTTTTAGCTCTTCTTCTTCCCTATCCTGCTTGTTTTTGTTTTCAACATAGTTTGATCAGATGCAGCTCTCAGTAAACGTATACATTGCAAAAATCAATTAAAGCTTTGACACCAAAAATAAAACAAAAAATAACTTATTTTCAACTCAAGAGTATGAAAATAAGATAAAATTGAAAACTTTTATAGCCAAAAATTAAACAAAAAAATTACTTAGGTAAGCCCAATAATTAGAAATTGAAAAAGAGTAAAACTTTGAGTATAAAATAAAGACTATATAAAGCCCAGTAATTATACAAAAAAAAAAAAATTACTTCTATCAACCCCATCGATAAGAAGAGACAAACTAAAGCTTTAAGTATAAGATCGAACACTATACAAAAATATTAAAAATTAAACAAAAAATATTACTTTTCTCAGCCCAGGAATCTGAAATTAGTAAAAAATTAATAACTTTAATACCCAAAAATTAAACAAAACAAAATTACTTCTTTTTAGCCCAAGAATCTGAAATTAGAAAAAGTTCAAAACTTTGAGTATAAATTAAAACAAAGATTGTACCAAGATACCCAGATATTGTACACAATAGAATATTATTTTTTCATTCCCATTAGTAAGAATCTAGAAAATTGAATCTTAAAGTATAAGAACAAAACTAAAAATTGAAAAAAAAAGGAAAAGTTTTGGGCAAAAGAAATACATACCAATAGAGAAAGGGATGGGGATTTGCTATGGGTGAGAGTAATCTGGAAGACACATGCAGCAAAGAATGAAAATGAATGAATTAGGTTAAAAAAGGCAATGAAGGTGAAGTCGCAGATGAGAGAAAAGAATAGGGGAAAGTTTTCCCACTAGTATTACTTGGATGATTCTTCAAAAATATTGCATTATAATGAATAAGCGTCGCATAATTTGTGTATTGGCAACATTTAAAAAGTGTAGTCTTTATATTTTAAGAACACGCTTTTTAAGGGTAGCCTTAAAAACCGCGGCCGAACACTCTAATCAAAGGCCACACTTATAAAGTGTATCTATAGATATCTTTGGTAGCACTTTTCAAGTGTGGTCTATAATTAGTGTGGTTGTAGGCCTAATATGCTGTAGTGGTCATATATTTAACACATCCCACCATATATCATCCATTGTTTCCTCAAAATTTTCACTAGAAATCCATTGAGTATTTGCCCTCTATCATTTTTATTGCTTCCTTTGCTGTATGACATTTTTTTCAGCATTCTTCCCCACATGGAATACAACAGACGCAGCAGAATATTCGAACAAGTGCTAGTTAAGACGTAAGTGTGTAATCCTGGTTAAGAAAAGAACTTACAGTGATTAATGGTGCCACCATTTCCTCATTTTGAAAATATATATTCTCAATTATGTATAGTTGATGTACTTTCTAAGGTCCAACCCTACTGATTATTATGTTACTTATAATGGTTATGTGCTTCAACAAGCTAATTAATATACTCAAGCATCTTGCTTAGTTCAATTCTTGAAGAAAACTTGATAGCTATGGCGACTAATGAACAGCCAGCTGTTGTTCCTCCTGTAATTCTGCCTACAAATTCAAATCAAGGAGGTTTGCATGCAATTGATTACAATCATCCACTGTTTTTAAGTCCTTCAGATGTTAGTGGCATTCAAATCATATCTTTTCAACTAACTGGGATTGAAAACTATTCACTGTGGTTTCGATCTATGAGAATGACACTATTAGGAAGGAATAAGTTGGGTTTGGTGGATGGTACATGCACAAAAGAAAATTTTCCAGAAAATCTGTAGAATCATTGGGAAAGAGTAAATGCTATTGTGCTTTCTTGGTTGATGAATTCTGTGAGTAATGGGTTACTTGGTGGTATAATGTATGCATCAAGTGCAAAGGCTGTGTGAGATGATTTGCATGAAAGATGTGATAAAGTGGATGGTTCAAGATCGTACAATTTACATAAAGAAATTGCTACGCTTAGTCAAGGAACAACATCTGTTTCTGCTTATTTTTCAAAACTAAAAGATTTGTGGGAGGAATTTGAAGCACTGGTTCCTACACCTGGGTGTGACTGTCCAAAATCAAGAGAGTTTGTTGTTCACTTGCAAAAATTGAAGCTGTTTCAGTTCTTGATGGGGCTAAGTGATTCCTTCAGCCAGGCTAGAATTCAAATCTTGCTCATGAGCCCAATGCCAACGGTTAATCAAGCATATGCCATGGTGATTAGTGATGAGAGCCAGAAATCAGTTGCAGCAAATGCTGGCCTACTAGGAGCAAATCCTACATCTGGAACTAGTCAATTTGATATGGCAATGTATACTAAAACTGGGGGGAATTATCAGAAAACTAGAAAAAATTTCAATCTATTCTGTGATGTGTGAAAAATGAAAGGGCATTCTAAAGAAAATTGCTATAAGGTTATAGGCTATCCTCCAGAATATAGACCAAGAAAGAAGAACACAAATACTCACAATGCATATAATGTGCTATCTGATGTCAGTGTACAGAGTAATCAATTTTCTAGAGGAAATTGGAATGAGAATTGTTTACAAAATTCTCAATTAACAAGCAGTGCTGTGAGTGCTAATAATTCTCAGAATTTTGGTCAAATGGCAAATACACCTTGGATGGGAAATTGCACATTCACAAAAGAGCAGTATGACCATATTGTGCAACTGCTGAACAAAGACAATTCAACTGCTGCAACACCATCAGCTAATGCTGCCTCTACTACAGCAACACCATCAGCTAATGCTGCAGGTATTCCTTGTGCCTTATTAGCCTCTAAAAGCCTACAAGAATGGATCATAGACACAGGAGCTACAAATCACATGGTAGCTGATATAGAACTGTTAAATAAAGTCTCTCTAATGCAAACAAATCAGTCAAAGAAAGTACATCTACCTAATGGAGAAACTACTCAAGTTACTCATATTGGAACTAGTACCTTAACAGATCAAGATATAATAACTAATGTATTTTATATCCCTCAATTCAAATATAACCTCTTGTCTGTCTCTAAATTAACTAAGGAACTGAAATGCTCAGTTGCTTTCTTCCCTGATTTTTGTATATTTCAGGAACTCTTCAGTGGGAGGGTGAAAGCGATTGGTAAAGAAGACAGTGGTCTATACATTCTCAGTAGACAAAAATTACCAGAAAATAATGCAATTAGTTTAAACACTAAGGAGACAGAAATCAGTAAAGAGACTAATTCAAATGATATTGAACTCTGGCATAAAAGACTTAGACATGTGTCTGCTACTGTTCTCAAGAAGCTATTTTCTACAAATGCACAAGATATATCTGCTAAAATAGATCTATGTACTACATGTCCTTGTGCAAAGCAAACAAGGTAACCTTTCCTATCAGTAGTATAAAAATAGCTGCTAGCTTTGAATTAGTTCACATGGATGTATGGGATCCTTACAAAATTCCTACTATGGATGGTAATAGGTTCTTTCTAACTGTAGTAGATGATTTCTCTAGAATGACATGGATTTTTTTTTTGCTGAAATTGAAATATGATGTATGTGTGATTATACAACAGTTCTTTACCTTTGTTAAAACTCAATTTGGAACTACAGTAAAAATAGTAAGAACAGATAATGGTACAGAATTTATTAACTCACTTTGTGAGAATTTCTTTAAGAATTTAGGAGTAATTCATCAAAAGACATGTCCTTATACTCCTCAGCAAAATGGAGTAGCTGAGAGAAAGCATAGACATATACTAGAACTTACTAGAGCTATCAGATTTCAAGCTAATATACCTATCAAATTCTGGGGTTATTGTGTTCTTGCTGCAGTATATATCATTAATAGGCTATCTAGTTCTGTCATTGGAAATAAAAGTCCATATGAAAGGATGTATAATAAGAAACCTACATTACAACATCTTAAAGTTATAGGTTGTTTGTGTTATGCAAAATTAGTTAATCAAAATGATAAACTAATGCCTAGAGCAAAACCTGCTATACACAAGGGATATGCTACAACCCAAAAGGGATATGTATTATATGATCTAATAGATAAAAGTTTCTTTGTAAGCAGAGATATCCAATTTAGAGAAGACATATTCCCTTTTAGAAACAAAAGACAACAATAAATCTTTATTTATCCATCCAAACATAACAGACTTACTTTTACATAACACAGATTCAACAGTACAAGCTACAACTTCAGAAAATAATATGTATTCAAATGAACAAGAAAATAATGCCATGTCAGAAGTGATACAAGAATACACACAACATTATGAGAATACTCACATAGCATCTACTCAGACTAACAATCAACAAACTTCAGCTACACAACAAAGAAATCAAATCTCACAACCAATAAATGTCAGAAAATCAGGAAGATGAAAGAAACCACCTATATGGATGAATGATTTTGTGTCATTAACTGCTAAACAGAATGAACCCTATGCCATATCAAAATTCATAACCTATGATCATATAACTCCTAAGTATCAAGCTTACTTGACAGTAGCTTCAAATATAAGTGAACCAACTCTATACTCTGAAGCTATAAAGGACCCTAAATGGATAGATGCAATGAAAGCAGAGATTGAGGCACTACAAAATAATCATACATGGGACATAGTAACTCTGCCTACTGGTAAAATTCCTATTGGGTGCAAGTGGATTTACAAGATTAAATACAAGGCTTCTGGTGAAATAGAACGATTTAAAGCTAGATTAGTAGCCAAAGGTTTCAGTCAAAAGGAGGGGATAGATTATCAAGAAACTTTTTCTCCTGTCATAAAAATAAAAACTGTAAGAACTATATTAGCTATAGCTGCTGCAAGACATTGGCATATACATCAAATGGATGTATATAATGCTTTCTTACAGGGAGATTTACTAGATGAGATCTATATGCAACTACCCCAAGGATTCACAAGTCAGGGGGAGAATAAGGTATGCAGACTTGTGAAATCTCTATATGGTTTGAAACAAGCTCCTAGACAATGGAATGCTAAACTGACAGAAGCACTAATGAAGTCTCAATTTCAGCAAAGTCAACATGATCAGTCTTTATTTTTTAAGAAAACTGCAGAAGGTATCACAATGGTATTAATCTATGTAGATGATATGCTTGTGACTGGTGACTCTCT